CTCTGTCTCAAAAAAAAAAAAAAGAAAAGAAAAAAGAATCCTCTTTAAATATAAAGATATAAATAGATCAAGGTGTATGAATGGAAAGAGACATACCGTGGAATACTAGTAATTTGTATTATGCAAACATGTTGGACTCTATTAGAATATGTAATATTATCAGATGGAATTACATTGTGTCCTGGTACTTCTGGTGTTTAAAACTTGAATACATGAAGCCCTAGAAAGTATTTATCGACTATTAAAACCTACTCTTGCAAGGTTATGAAATACTTTATAAATTCTTATGCTCTCTGACCAACTTAGACTAGATGGATGTTCTAAGTTGAAAACAACTTTAAGCCTATTAGGATCCTATTTATAATACTATCATGAAGAATTATGATTATGAACAAAGATATATATGCCTTAGCTCTACTTACTTTGGATATGTTAAATGTATACAATTCTCATACTTTTGAAAACAAAACACATAATTTTATGTTGAAAATGTTTATAATATACCAAGGAACTTTAAGTTTGCTCAGACATTAACAGCCAAAATGTAAACATGATTTAAAATATGTGTTTGTGTCTTATTAAATGACTTATACCTTTCACATATGTTGTTTCAGGAGAATGATTTGGGGATCCTACCTTCATATTATGAAATGAGTTACTTGTTTTGCCTATTTAAATAGCTTTATTGAAATAGAATTTACATGGCATAATATTCATGCATTTAAAATGTAGATTTCAGTGGTTTTTAGAGTATCTGTGGAGTTGTACAACCATCACCATGATATAATTTTAGAATATTTTCAACACCTAAAAAGAAACTTGGTGTCCATTGGCAGTTTCTTCCCATTCCCCACTGCTTTTACCCCCAAGACACGTTTAAGTCAGGAAAGAGGGCTCCGTTGTGTGTTACAGCTCCCAGGAAACTGGTAGTGCCCAAGTCATACACTTGGAAAGACTGTTACTATTTAATGTTGATGTGTTCATGTATCACTGGCATAAGCTATTTGACAGATAAAGAACATAAAACTAAAACTGATCTAATAGCACAAGGTGAGGTGTCTAACATAGAAATACTGTTTCCTTTCACTTACTGCGTTTGATTGGTTTGAGATCGAGGTATAACCGTGTTCTTCTTTCCTTTTAGTCCATTTTTCTCTTCCTCTTACCTATCTACTTTGCTGCCCCCGTCTTTTGTTTTCTTAGACATATGGTGGAAGAATGATCTTAGTCATGACTTGAATTAATCTGTGGTTGTTCTCTTAATGGTCCATTCTGCTCTTTTTATTAACCAGCAGACTTGAGAATGAAGCATTTTTGAATAAGAAGTTCATACTTTACATTGTTACTATACTATAAAAATCATTCTGCAACTTTTCAATTTGTTTTCAGTGTGCTGTATTCTCTAGTTCCTTCAGAAATTCAGGGTACAGGTTACTGAATAATATCAGGCTACACACCCGTCAGTGAATTGGGTACACAGTGGCAGGCACACGGATGAACTGATGTTTCCAAATGTAAGAAGGTAGGTGGCGCCGTGTGTCATGCAATTGTTCTAAAACATGTGGAATGGACCAGAAGAGTTTTGTTTTGTTTTGTTTTTCGATGTTGATGATACGCTGATCCTTGGAGGAGCCACAGGAACAGAGGAGAGATGG